GTTGATTCTGTGTAGTGTTTTGTGTTCTGTCACATTGATATTACAGTGCCCAACAGCAGCACATCGAACCATTACACGGACCCTTTGTCAGTGAGAAGGTCAAAATACTGTTGTGTTATGTGTCTATATGTGATATGTTTGTTAGTGTTAAATTCTTTCAATGTTTTGGTGAGTTTCTGACACATACGACACACACAGCCTCTCACGAAGATTATGTATTTACCTCAACACTGACAAAATTAATACACCACACACAATATTAATCCCTCACTAAGATTATGTATTTACAAATATAACACACAGAGACACTCACCAAGATTATGTATTTACTTAAACACTTGCAAAGGCACCACACACAATCATTCACTAAGATTATGTATTTACCTTAATTAACACTGACAAATAAATCACACAAAGACACTCACTAAGATTATGTATTTACCTTAACCTACAAATATAACACACAGAGACACTCACCAATAATATGTGTTTATCTTGACACAAAAAATACACCACACAATCACCCATCAACATTATGTTTTTACCTTAAAACTGACAAATTTATCACATACGGTCACTCAAAGAATAACGAGGATGTTAACACTGACAAATATATCAGTCATAAGGTCTGAACGTGAACGTTTAACTCGTGCTTTAAAGATTATTCAAAACGTCATAAAAATAAATGTAAAGTCACAAAAATATATTTTATTTAATAAATCTTTGCAATAAAGACAAGTAACGAATACAGATTTACAGAACGAACGTAAGACTCCTATTAATGTAACGCTATCAAACTTTGTTGCAATAATTGGTTTATTTGTAGTTCTAGTTAAATCGTCCCAGGTGAACCACTGAAATAAACCTACAAAATATCGTCACTAAACATGGTTTTATTTCTAAGGTAAAGCTTGCCTTTCTAATAGCCACATATTCAACCTGTCATTATTATAGACATATGGGAAAAAGATAAAAATCTTGTGGCTTATTTGAATAATACAAAATCATTATAGTTTGTTGCAGTGACAACATTGTCAATGATTAAAAATCAAAAGGACGTGCGCTAATAATTTTGTTGGTCGTCCTTGTTTTCAACTTGACTCCATCAGATAACAGAACGCATAGAAGACCAATGGAGAGATGGAAAAAAGTTTTTGAAATCAAAGGAGGTGGGATACAGTTAAAATAGTTTGTGTGAAGTCAAGAAATCAGACGAAGATTGGATGACATATCTGTATACAACAAAAATAGTGGCGAAGATGCTATTAACTGTAAGAACCTATTTCTAGTCAATTTGTCTGTACAATAAAGTATGTTTAAATCTTATCTCAAAAAGGTTTATGAATTAAGTGATTAAATCAACGCCAGCTATATGAACATATGAGTTTGTTTCTTTTATTTCACAAAGTTAAACTTATAAGATTAATCTTATTGCTCACAATTCGAAACCACATCATATGATTATATTCGTATGTACTTCTATGAACTTATAGTCGTTTCAGTACACCTTTACCAGTTTTTCTGTCGTTATATTTAAAATACAGGATTGGTACACATGTAGGTCACGCATAGTTATTTTAAAAGCTTGTCATGACATTGATGACAAAATTGAGACAAATTACGATGGCATAGACTTCATAGTTAAACCATTTTACCTACATCAAATAATACCGAACGTCAGGATCTACCGCGTGAACTGGTGATTATTAAATACCTTCCAATTAAGTATATATGTCCTTTTACACATTGTCGCGCTAAGTTAGGGTACTCGCTATAGATTGCCGTTGATCTATTACTGTGATTACAGAAATTATTCCGAAGGACATCAGTGTTGTATCACGCCCTATTATGATCTCTAATTGGTTAAGTTCGTGATATCAGTGAAGATCATCTGCGAGTTAAATGCCTCGTAGCGTATCCATTGATACTGGTCGTTCACTATTGCTGATTTTGCACTATCTGATCTCGTCTGGAAAATTCTGGTAACAAAAATGTTTTCCCTTTATTTTGATGTAATCATACAGAACCTTGACTTCCGTTATAGCTTTTTATAGACTTTAACAGAGCCCAACCCTCTTTTGATTTTGTGTCCGGAATCACTGTACTTCATATCCGGATTTGCTTAGGTATCTTTAAATAGTAAATCTTCAGTTTCCCCGACACGTATCGGTATAAAGGTATTCACCAATGTGCACTGATTATATCGACAGCCAATTGTTACAAGACATGGATAAATCTTTAACGGTAATTATTAATGACACTCTGACAACAAAGAAGAATAGTACACGGCCCCTTGTGTACCCGGAGGTGAATAGAGGAACGACCGCGTTGCGTAATCCTACCCAACAACCTGCAGTGTCGTCATACATGGGTGTTAACATATCTCTGTGTATGAGAGAGGCGGGTATGCGAATACAGCTGCAAAAGAGTTCGATATATTGTCTCACATGATGCCATAATACATTTTTTTATTTTATTTTATTTCGGTTTTTATCAAAGACAATTGTTTTAGTCAAGTAGCAGTACCCCAGGTATTTTATTAGATTGGTTGTTGTTTTCGTAAAGAAGCAATGTAAATATGGTGTTTCTGTAGGTTTTTAATAATTCTCATGGAATCAATGAAGCCATATAGGACAACATTTTTTCAGCTACTTAAAAATATTGCTAAAATAAAAGGATGTTGTGTGATTACTGTATATGGTGAATCAAAGTTCTGTTTTTGAATTACCAAGCTGTAAGTTTTTAATCGAAGATTCTTATATTGTATTAATAGAGATAGAGAGTCTGAAAGAAGGATAGTATATTACAGGTTCAGAAGACCAGGCCCGTATTTATAAAACCGTTCTCATGCTCAAGCATGGATTCTGTGCTCAAATCAGTTTTCTGGTAACTCACTTAAATCAGGTAAACAATAAAAAAGCATTGAAAAAATAAGTTGTTTATCAATATATAACTGAACCATAAAATAGGCTTGAGAACAAAATTCACGCTTGAGCATGGGAACAGTTTCATGACTACAGGCCAAGGTGTCTAACATATCTAGAATAACAGGTTTTAGTAGAAGATATCTATTTAAACATAAAGAGGTTTTAGTAGGTATCTGAAACAATGCAATATAGTTAGATATTTTAGTTTCAATTCCTAGAAGGACATAACAGTTGTGTGATGCAGTGTAATTATTTTAGTATACTGTATATATTACCAATTTTTTTCGGTGACGTTGAAGAACTACTAAACAAAAATTAAGAACAGCAATACACTATCAGCTATCTATACCATTGATTGAAGTCCCTGTACACTCGGGGACATTGTAAAATATTGATTTTGATTTGGTGCTCATTGACAACACTTTAAACCTTATTGTTTCAATTTCTCTTTTGCTGTTTCTTGTCATCGATGACGACATATACACCACTGGGCTGCTCTTTGTCAGCACGGTGTGGTTGCATGCTAAGTACTGCGTTCAGGTTATGGTATTTCAGAAAAACGACACTAAAAAGTGGTTCTGAATAAAACCCCATCTTCTTTGGATATCGTTTTCATAAGTTTATATCAAATATAAACTAAATTTATTTTTACAATAATTATGAAACAAGTTATTTCAACTTGTATTATTCACTCTTGTTGTTCTGGATGTTAGCGCGCGGGGGTCTTAATGTGGGAGGAAACCGGAGTACCCGGAGAAAAGCCCACGTGGTCGGGCAGGTAACCCCCATACCTTTTCACGTCCGATCGGGGAATCGAACCCCGGCCGCCTTAGTGAAAGGCAAGTGCGCCATCTGACCACCACTTCATAAGTCTTCAGCTTTTACGAAGACGCCAAATAAGCACAACATTTAATGACAAAGAGATATCGGCTAACACCACATATCACCGTAAATATGAATGATTAGAGGGTAAATATCGATGAAAAATAGAATAGCAGCGAGTATATCGTTGCATTTTAATATTAGGTGAGCTGTTTAATATAGTACACAAGAAGATGTATATTTCATTGATAAGAAAATGTCGATCAACAATGACAAAACGACTGTAACGAAAGAAGTAGGATAAAAGTGTCATATTTTTGTCATGTCATGACGATGAACAATAATAATAAATAAACAATACAAAACAAATTCTTCATTCCCATTGTTATACTTCCGTCTCATAATAACTAGAACTCCCATTTTTGTGTCAGAATTAGCACGTTTTTTAAACAGAAGATATCTCATTGTATTATTTGTTTTTGTTCTGGTGTAAAATTTTCCTATAAATATTTTGTTAATGTGGGTGTGACAATATATAATTTAGAACCTATTTCCTTGCTGTAATTACAGCGTATTTGCCTGAGACTCAACACTATCAGTCCTCTACATAATGTCGTCAGACTTCATGTTTACTCAGATGTGTTATTTTAATTGTTTTATTAAAATAATTTGTAATTACTGTTTTGTAAAGGCGTTGTCGAGTATATTTGGTATAATATTCCCCTGGAAAACAATAAACAATTTCCCCTTTTACGTAAACATGTAGAACGTTAAACAAAGACAAAAAGTACATATTTTGAAAACAAATATTGAATGAAAGAAAATCGCCTTTACTTGAAGAAAAAAATTAATAAACCTGTCCAATTATCATTCATTATGTCTACATTTACTTGTTGTTTAAGTGTAGTGAACATGATATATGTTCAGAAAAGTCGGCATTGTTCACAAGACAATCCTTCTCAATAGATGATATAGATCCTGTTAAATAGCTACCATGTATATATACTAACGTGTAATGACGAAGTTGTCGCTCTAAGTTTGTTAAATATGGAATTTTAACGGTTACGGGTATTATCTTTAAAAAGGGGTGACTTGGTAAATCACGAACAAGGGTTTGTTAATGCTTTCTTTAGATATAGGTCTCTACCTAATCAGACGAGTGCGGGATAGGCACACTGACTAGGTAATTATCTTTATGGAATGACAAAAGCTATCGGCTGATGCCTCCACGGTTAGACTGATCAGAGAGCCTCTAGCAGACCGGACCGTTCTCAATGTCGCTGTCGACACGTCGGACCTACTGGTGTCTACTACTTTTAGCTTTTGTTATTGAGGAATCAAGATGCAAATCTTGACAAATGATGCATTCGAGAAATATTTGGAGAGGATTTCTTATACTTGTTTTCCTTACTACGATACATCCTGTGATATCGGATCAAAAAGGTAAGCGGATTGTTTGGCAGAGGTTGGACATTATTATCTTTTGTATATAAAGTCTCTGTTCGAATATCATGGGTAAACATAAACGTATTGCCGTTTGTTCGTAGTAAAATGTTATTCATCTTCACGGAAACAATACAATTATTAATCAATATAACGACATATCACACTTCGGACGAAGATAACAATTTTTTTAATTTGATAATATTTATTTATTTTTTTATAAAAAGCGTTGCTTTGCAAATGTGTTATTTCAATGTTAAAAAGGTATATTTTCGTAAACGTATTTGTATCAGTTCCGCTTATTAATACGCCAAGACATACCACAGAACGTCTTTTTGTTGATATTTCGGCATTTTATTACGATTATATAGTTGAAATGAATGTATAACTTGCTTCTTTTTCAAGATTTGTTTATTCAATTTTAATGAGAATAACATTTGCAGATATTGTGTTGTAGAATTCTATTAATGTATTAATTCATACAAATTGGCTTTTTTTCCAGACATTGTGTTTTTAGTAGATGTAACGTCAGGGGCCACATCCAGTGAATTTGACCTCGTTGTAGATTTTATATACGATGTTGTCTCACACCTTACCATAGGATCTAACGACATGCTCATTTCTGTGGTGACGTTTTCATCTACTGCCACGGAATCGTTCGATTTGAATGACTTTACCGACAGGACTGGCCTGTTGAACGCTATTACGTCTCTAAAATCCATGACACCATCTGGAACCAATGGCATGGTCACTGGCCTCAATTACGTGAAAGATAATTCCTTTGAGACAAGTAAGGGAGCGCGCACTCTTGCAGACGACACATTAGTGCTCATTGCATACAGCCAGTCAGCAACTATTTTTCAAACGGCCCAAGTTGGAGGCCAGCTCGGCCTAAGTGAGATTCATGCGTACACAGTTGGTATCGGGTCATCAGTATCAAAGTCAGAGTTGACCTTTGTTTCAACTGCTCCGGATGCCGACAATCACCATGATGTGAACAGTTTCAGCCTTCTGTGTGATTTAGTGCCTATACTTGTCCCCAAACTCGGTAAGTGGTAACAGTAGTTTCTGGAAATAAAAAGTAAGGACACACTTAACCACAATTATGGTATGAACTCTTAGCCAGGTAACACACTTTTCTCTCAGCTCTGCGTGTGAAAGAATACACCTATCCCATGTAGAGCATCCATGAGGGATACACAAGGGTACACCCAGTGACCTGTACTGACATGACGTTACAATCAGATGGCGGCGTTTTATTATGACTTCACACTTGAAAACGGGTTGCAACTTCATTTGTCTAACTGGAGCAATCTTGCCGTCGGCAAGTTACACAATCTAAGGAACATACGAATTTTTGTGTGCACGGTTGCCCCAGAGTTCTTTCATGCATGAATTGTATTTGAGCAATACCTACGATAAATACCGCTCTTTCCAAATATGGTCCTAGTGTGTGTATATGGTATCTAGAAATTTTGCTATATCTAGTGTTGTATTTGCATTGTCTTGTCTTGTTGGCCAAACATTTGGTTTAGACGTTTAAGCAAAAGAAGCAATCATTATGTAGATGTGTGGTATATGGATATTCTACTCTCGGTTGCAGAACTTGGTGTCATAATCCATATACTACATGCCTACAGATGATTGACTCTGTTAGTGCTATCATTTCTATATATCAGCTCGTTAAACAGTTTGTTTTTTGGTCAGCCCTGTTTAACACTAGCCGAATACTGCTTAGATCAAGGTGTCTGGTTTAACTAATATAATTTAGGATACCATATGTTTAATTGACATAGAAAAGGATACGAGTGGGTATAGCTATAAGTACGATTTAAAAGGCAGAGTTTAAGAATTGAATTAAACATGGAGCAGTGACGACGTACTTTCTGTGATTATACACTATTTTGATAATGTAATACATGAATGAAACATATTTTGTCGAAATCCTTCAATTTATAAAGACTAAAAAAACGTTCTGGTGTCCAACAGATAGCGCAAGCAGTGTGACGTCAGCAGACGGATGTCCGGTAACGACAACATCAACCTCCACTACCACGACAACCACCACCACTACCACTACTACCACAACACAGACCACTACAACCACTACTACAGCCACACCTGGACCCCCGTCTCTCAAAGGTAATTCTGTTTAAAGGTCGTTTCGATTGATATATAGCTTCAGTTTGTATCAAGTGCCAACCTTTCTGAATTCTCTCGTTTATCAGTGAAGTTTTACTTAGTCCTCATTGTGTTAAAAATCTGGACAAATGGTATAGTTAGCATTAAACCGGTTAATACAACATATTTAACATCAGCTTGCTCCGCATACAGCTTAAAAACATATAAACCATTCAAATTAGTGTAGAAAAATACTAATCTTACGCACTATTATTCATTTTCGACTGATAATCGCATGTTTCTTCTAAGGAAGGAGGAATAGAAGCCCGCTTTTTATTTGATGTTTATAGTTTTGATACTGAACCTTTACTTCAGTCACATTTTGTTTACAAAAAAGCGTTGTTTTTTTTATCGATTTCGTTCGTTTTATACTTGCTGAAACTTCTTCTATTACAACAAAGAGTAACGACTCATTTGAGAGTTGATGGTTGGTGTCTATGTGCGTCATTACATGCACACGTATTATTTAGTTCCTGTTTTGAGTTCGGAGTACGGCTTTTTTTACGCTCCGGTATTCTCATCGTTTTCATTCACTTACAAAGTAAAGGCTAGTCTAAGCTATAGTATTTTCGTTTGTCAATGATAATTTCATAGTCAGCTATTATCAATTTATATTTACATTTGTCCCCGCGCCGTCCCAATACAACAGTGTTAGAGGACAAGTGTAATTATATAGGCTATAATTACAACTGCTCGACTATAATTACAACTGCTTGTTTCAGGTGTAGGAATATGTAAACAAACAAAATGGCCGCCTGAAATGTATTTTGAGGCAGGGCAAATGGTTTTTGTAGGAATATGTCTTAAAAAAGAAAAATATGTAAATATAAAAAATACCTGGTTGTCTGGATGTAATTATTGTTGATATAATTACAAGTGGCCTCTGGCAAATCTACCATAAAACCCCTAGCGGGTTTTATGGAATTTGCCAGAGGCCACTTGTAGTTATATCAACAATAATTACACCCAGACAACCAGGTATTCTTTAAATAATATTACACTTTTGTTTCTTCCAATATACAGATATTATTTTCGTGGTTGACGTGTCTTCTGGAGCCAATGACTCGGATCTGGATTATATCACCGACTTTGTGTACAAAGTAGTGTCTGTTCTGACAATAGGCGACAATGACACGCTGGTTTCTATTATTACGTTCTCTGATACCATCGAGGAACATTTCACACTTGACGTACACACAACTAGCGCTTCACTGCTGAGCGCAACGAGCTCCTTGATGGCGTTGACTCCTAGTGGTAGCCCATTGACCTATGATGCATTCAGCTACATCGGCTCCAACGCTTTCGACAAAGGGCGTTCAGCAGCTCCTGACGTCATTGTCTTGGTGACGTTTAGCCAATCAACAAGTACGACGCAAACGGCTTTCAACGCTCAGTCCCTGAGAGATGCCGGTGCTAGTGTCTTTGTAGTCGGTGTGGGTTCTGCCCTGACGAGCGATAACGACGAATTGATCGCTGTGGCATCGTCACCTAGCTCCTATTATTTACATTATGTGGCCAACTTTAGCGATGTGTGCTACCTGCTTCCTACAATCGTCCCCAAACTTGGTAAGCCATTTATTTCACTTTAAATTTTTGAGCAATAATTAACAGGACTATTGAAGAGGTGGTTAGTTTTAACAGGAAAGCGTTGATTTAAGGAGCTTTTCATTCTTGCCACAATTGATAAACTTAAAGATTCAAAATTGTATAAACTTGAAGAATTCTTCTTTGACATATGCTAAAAATAAATACGTCTCAAATATTTATGTTATTTACACGGGTCCAAATATCTTGTTTTTCATTAGAACGTAGTCTTATTTTATTAGATATCACCTTGCTTTTACAGTAATATTTTGTTGAATATTTAGTAGAAAATATGTTCGGACTTACTAGTATTCAATCTGGGTACCAACTGTGTACTGCTTTAAGCCGTACTGTCTTTGTATTCTTATGAGTGGTGATTTACACAATGCTGTTGGGGAACAGAGATGGTAAACCTGCCCGATCCTTTAATTTTATATACAAATGAAATCCAGTTTTTTCCTGATATAACATACAAAATTATTCTTTGAGGAATTCTTGTATATCATTTAGACTTTACAACATTTATTCAAAGACTTCTCTTCGTCGATACGTCGTATTGACTGTTACATTACGATTTACTGTCGTATCTAGTTAGCGTGTGGGGATGTTACTGTCTTTGATGACTGTTTATCTTATCGTACGGACTTTGGTTAATGATTGTACACTTCTGTGTTGAGCTTTCCTATACAGTAAAACCTTGGTAAAATATCCCTTGTTTCATTTTGCGCCCCGCTTACCACAAATATATGTCACGGTCCATTTTTATGCAAATATTTAAATGTCGCCCTTAATTTATCGACAAATCCCTCTATAACGCCAAAATTTACCTGGACAAATAATTGCAGTATAACTGTTGTTTATTTTTGATTTATATTGTAGACAGTTCCAAAAGCGCTACCACAGACGTGTGTTCAACACTGATAACGGCACCAGTCACGGACTCTAGTGTAGACACGGAAGGTACATATCTCGTAATACTGACACTTTATGTCCAGAGTTTTTTAATGTATTTTTTCCCTTATTTAGGATACAAAGTTACAACACACGGGCTCAAGAGATGCTGTCATGGTCTCATTGGGATATACATTATTTCCTTGGTTCGCGTCACAGCCCCGGTTTTCGCTTTGATATCATGACATTGGATTTGACCTAGATTTACATTGCGGTTGTCGTCGATGAAGCGGAACACCTGTTCTAATTCTTCTTGTATTTTCCCTAGAGTCTTCATTAAAATCTTGCGTTTGTCATTTTTGGCCCTATTCTTATTGATTTATCGTTGTCGTCAAGTTTTGATTCAATTTGTTGACACTTTGGTCTTTTTTCTCTATTTTCGCCTTTCTTGTATGTAAAATTTGCATCAATCTCCTGTGAAATGGAAACGTATAGAACATTCTTTGGCACAGAAAATTACGAAAATATCCTGAAATAACAATTTGTTTAACGCCTTTATAGATACATTGAGGTTACAGCAGTTGTCCTAATTGGATATGACGTCATGATTTAACTGCTTTCTTTTTCACAATGGAAAGGTAATCTTACACTAGCTATATATGACAAAACTGTATTTGCATAATTACTGGTTACTTCGGGAGCTATTTGGTACTATTACAGGGTAGATAGTAAACACCATTACAAGATAATAAATACATTGGTATTATTATAATGCTTCCTTCTTGTTAACCAATAAACAGTTTGCCTTGGATATGGTTAGGCATTTATAAACATACAGTATTTACAATAATACATTCTTGATTTCAATTTCAATTTCATTAAATTTTATTGTCAAAAGACAAATGGATTGGGCAGCAGGCATAGCCTATTTAAGCCCTCTCCCAACACAGTAACAAACAGTGGAACAAGCATAGACATAGACATTAGAACACATACAAACCCATATAACAAGTTGATATTATAAAATAAATAATCAAAGTAGGGGAAACAACTACTAAATACTATTTTTATTATAATTGAATCTAATGGTTTAAATTCTAACCTTTCAGATAATGGTTATGATCTGTGTATACCTTTATAAATAATGTTTTGAAAAATTACTCAAATGATTCAGTCATCAATGAATCACAAAAAACATATACGAGTTTGTTATTAAAATGACAAATATGTCTTTAGTTTTCTTTTCGTTTCTAGAAAATGTGTTTTCACTTTGAGGGTTTTATCGTTGCAGTACCTGAAGAAAGCGGGGGCGAAAGCGGGGGCGAAAGCGGGGGCGATAACGCGATCCTGGTGGTCGGGGCTGTCGTTGGAGGAGTCTGTGTTACCATAATGTTGCTACTCGGGACCTGCATCCTTATAAGCTTTTTGAAAAAGAGGTAGGATTAACTTATGTGTTTGATAGCATTTTTACATAGGATTTCGTTGGTGTCACGAGAAATGTACATACAAAAATATTCTGAATGAGTTTTGAACACAAACAGTAATTGAAAACTTATTTTTGCGAGCTTTCGAAAAAAAGTCGTTTTAATTTGTCAAGCAAAGAGTTTTAACATTCATAAAGGTGCGGAATGGGAAAACATATTACCAGGCTCTCTGACTGTCTGCAGTATTGAAGTATTATTTGCTGAAATGTCTCACTATTTCTTGCAGCTGACTTAACTGCCTCCGCACATTGTTGCTTATTGGGTTGTTTTCAGCGGTTTAGAGTCGGAAGATCGGTCATTTGCACTCATTGCTTTCCAAATGAAAAAGACGTTTTCGAAAAGTCGCAAAAATAAGTTTTCAATTGTTCAAAATAGACTTAGCATTTATTGAACATAAACAAAGATGAAGGAAAATAGGAGTCACCATATAGTCTATCTTGCGATCTATCACAATTTAGTAAATAATGCCTTTAATAAGGCTTAATCGCATTTGCCATGTGCATTTGTATATAGGGAATAAATGTAAGTACAAGTTTGGGTAAGTTTCGGTAAAATTGCTGTAGTTTGTAATGGAAATTGGCAGGGATTCAATATACAGGAACCACAAAAAGATTCATAATCATGTTCAATATATATATATTCAACATCAAATTAAATTAAATATTTTGATAAAACTCTCTTTTTATACGTAAATGTTAACAAAACGGCCCTAGAAATACTGCTTATTGTAAATACATATAAAAAACAATAGACTTGTTGAATTGGATGGGTACAGTGGTGAATTGAACTTTAAACTTTGAATATCATTTCAAAACCATTTAATACAGAAAAAGACAATGGGATATTTAATATTAGAATATGTTACGGTCAGTTTCATCTATGGGCAGGACATGTTTAAAAATGTCATTCGTCACTCTTTTCTCTATTCTAGGGATATGATATCGAATAAAACAGCAATAAAAGAGCTCAGTCGATCTGATGCAAGCATTCGCCGAAGTACAGAGGAGTTGAGTCGAGTATCAGCGTCTAAGACAGCGACAGACAATCATGAACATCACACACGTCACGATTCAGACCTCTCGAACAGCAGCCATGGGACTGCTTCTCCCGTGGCTCTTATCACAGAACGGGACCTACCAGGTATGATTGTAAAAGAGCAAGAGGGTTTACCTAATGACAGAGATGTAGCGTCAAGTTTGGTGTCGATTTCGGACCCAACCAATGAATCAGAAAAGACGTTTGATGAAGGTTACAGATCTAATAGCCTTGAGAATAGAACGCCGGAGTCTGCAGGGTCAGATAAACTAAGTTTTTCCAGTTCAGAAAAAGACATGTTTCGGCAGGACTTTGTTGACTGGAGGACTACCAGTCCGTGTGAGCAATCGCATGGGCATAATGCATTGGAATCTATCCAGACGGAAGAACAATTTGAAAAGGATGAAAACAATATTAACACTACCGGTATACTAAACGAGAAAGATGATGATGATGTTCAGAAAGAGGAGTCGAAGTACACCAAAGATTTAAATAAGGAGAAATATCTACAGAGTGATAGAATACAAACAGTGATAACGTCTAAAAGTGTATCCGAACACGCTCCAAATTCAAAATCTGGAAATATCCCCAAACAAAAAAGGCCAGCTTCACAATCTCGAGCTCGACATAAACAGGCCACACCTTCTTTAGCTGACGCCATTCATTCGAACACTCACGTGTCAAAAAATGCAGAAGCACCAGACACATCCAAACGTCGGAATCCAAAAGAGAAGAAGAAGGTCCTAATTCGACAGGATACTCAGACAAGCATCTACTGTAGGAGGCCTAGTATGGTACACATAGACATTGGGGAAATATGACGACAGGAACACCTTATCCTTAGTTCGAGATTTCTGTGTGAAATGTTGGACCAGTTTTCTATTGTAAAATAGAAATTATCCCGTCAGATTTCAGAGATACATGACCGAAAGAAAATTCCTATCAGGTCTTATTGTGTTCTGAAATAGAAAGTATAAACAGGGAACACTTACGAAATAGACATTTAATACACTGAAGTAAAAAAGGTGGCTTACAATCCCATATCATTATTTTCATGTGTTTTTATATTGACATCACACACATCTACATAGGGAATATCTGATAGCATTACTCATTATCGCAGGAATTCATTGATTAATGAATTACACAAGTAACTGTATATCATATATCTTGATAATAATGGTATATAATAGTCGACACTGTCGTTGTAGTGTGAACTCATATATTCTTGGATTTCATATATATGACGCAATGGAACGTACTCTTTATGTGTCGCGATCAATATATCTTAAAATATACCAGAACAAAGGCTGTGAAACATTTCCGATCTGCTTGTAATTGTTATGAGGAATAGTTTATTTTATGGCTGTTTTGAGGAATTTTCCTGTACAGAACATCTTATACTCAAACATTGAATATTCATAGTATATGAAAGTCTTATTTTCATTGTAAGTAAATTGTTTTTAATGTTTGATTTAAGTTAGAAGTAAAAAATATCTTATCAGTTATTGATTGTGAATTTAGTTGTTCGATTTTGTGCGCTAAAGCTTGTTTTGTTTGAAACATTGAAAGTCATATGTAGTTTAGTTGAAAGCCAGTATTTAAATAGGAATATTTTCCTTTATCTACATCTAGTGCAAAGAGATATTTCATTTTGTGCCATTAACTTGCGTGTTTCTATTATGAAGGGGTGTGTGTGTTATGCTTATTATCGTGTTTGGTTGTCACTTCTGTATATAGTTTGTTGTAATTGTGTTTCTACAATTAGCTTCTCCAAAGCAGAGTCATTTTGTGTTACTTATAACGAAACAAAGGTGGTGATTTGTGTTTTGGTATAACATACACCACGCTAAATTTAACTGATAGATACTGTTTTGAATCGGTGCTCAATCTCAAAGACTTCGTGTCATTGTTTGTGTGGTAATAGTGCGGTATTTATTCTTAATGTCGGCTATTGACCTCGGTCTCTCACTATTCATTCATAGGATGATTGTCGTTGGCAATATTATTATCTGCATTGTATTTCACTAAAGGATTTCTTTTTGCATGTCCTGAGAACATTTGAGACGTATTAATGGCAGACAGACAGACAGACAGACAAATAGAAAACAAAGTATATCATTGGTTGAAGAAAAAGAAAAAATTATGAAGGACATAAAACATAATATACAACAGTGAGTTTGATGACATTAATTGTTGTCTCGTGGATATTAAATTTTAAAACAAAATGTCAAATGTACAATCCCTTGTGAAATCATAGTTAAAATTCAAAATAAAGTCATTTTATATGTATTACAGTTGTTATTCATAATTAATACAGAAACATATCGACAGCATACATATATGCCTTAAGTCATGGTTAAGATATGCCACACACATATAGATGTATTGATGGTGGCTTCAACATATCGCAATTTCAACTCGGTGACACACTTTTCAAAATTTAATTATCTTTCTCTCTTTATCTTTTTACATATACTAGACTTATTATTTTACAAGAACATTCTTTTCACTTCAATTGAAATTTGCAAAAAAATATTAAACTGAAAAAGGGCTCTCATAAACTAGAGATGATATCGAAATTCTTTTCTAATGCGATATATATGTAGAACAGTGTTATTTACAAAAATCATCAAACCGGAACAAAAACTTGACAGCTTAATTGTACTGTTCGTGACTAAATTGTATGGGAGAGTTTTTACAACATAAATTGTTAACGGTGTTTATTTGAATTACCTTGTCCTTCTTTATTATCGTCCATTTCCAATGTTTAAAATAATTAAAATAGCTTTCTATAGAACGCATTTTGTTTTAATTCAGCAGAAACTGGTATAATTAAGATATTTTAGAACAAATAGTGTCATAGACATGATAGAAACCATATTATCCAATATATATCCTTTCAATGTCTTTTAAATGTGACCCTTTCATATAAAACCAAATATAATACAAGTTATTAAAACACAGATGTTTGTTTCTAACGTGATTATGGCGTTTCAGTTGGTGAAGCTCGAGTTGTCTGGGAAATTTTACAGGTACAAACTTTCACAAATGACCAAATACTCTTAAAACATGTCGACTTGCTCTCAATAGTACTTCATGCAAATGTTATATAGCAAAGTATAAATGTGGAGAATAATGAATTAAATAATTATTTCGGCAATGAGAAATATTTGTGAATGCAATGAAAATCTAATAGCATGTCTACAAAGACAATTGTTGAATTAGTCGAAATCATATGCCGGCATAAATATCTTGTCACATGTTATAATGCGAGATGATACCTCGTCCAAAATACAGATAGCATATTATACGGTATTTTCATGACTCTAGAGACTCATTGGTAAGAGGTTATCGCCATTTAAATATAATGAACTTATAATGTACTGCCTATTATAGTTATTGTCGTGAATTCCAATATTGTATAGGTTTTTAAGGTAAATATGCATCGGACTTAACTAAATCGACTTCCGGTAATTATGTGTCCGTGACGCATTTTTAAAAAGATAAAAAGAAAAATTCTCTTCACGTAGTTATCTTTCCTAATTAAGAAGATTCATTAGCAGAAACTTAGTCCCTTTAAATCACAGCCTGTGTCTGCTAAACTAGTCACTATATACTAAACTTTAACATAGCAATGACGACCATGTAAATCATAAAATTAAATGAGAAGAAAACAAATATTCCCTAAATTCTCTGTAATAAGTCTTACTCGAAAATAGCCCGGACTTGAAAGCAAGTCTTGAATTTCTTGCAGGCAAACTTATATTGAAAATATACCTCGGGTTCCAGGTATGAGCCCAGTTTCTTTGTCGATCTACAGAGGTTTTACAGGTAAGCACTACATTACATAGGAAGGAACTATCACTTAAGTCCTGTATAAAACTAATATTTTTCCATGTGAAAAAAGGAAAGTCTTGAAAATAAGCCAGCTTTGAAAATAAGCCTGGGATTCCTTACTTGAAATGAAAACAAGCTGCGGCTCGTTATCACGTTATCAAGAATTCAGGATATTATATAAGAAATGTTATAAGAAAATCTTTGACGGATATTATATAAGTAAAAAAAAAATATATAATTCGTTTTAGATCAGGTAAGTTATCTTATGAAATATATAGCATATTTCAACACATGGTCCAAATGCTTTTGTTCACAATTTTGATCAATATCAAGTCTTACACAAAATTCATTTTACTTTAATTAAGATGTGATTATAAGACGTTCATGCCTGGGGGTATAGTATAGGAAAAACGGCGTCACAATTTCCGCATAGCCGAATCGGAATGTTTCCGACTTCATGATGTCACGTCATTGTCATCCGATTGTGACGTCACGCACGTGAGATCGGACGTAAGACAGACATGTTCTTACACCCCTTTGTTCTGCTTTACAAAGAGAGAAAAACATTATAATTTAACAATGGTGTTATTATGACATATGGAAAGGCAGTCCTAATCGGAAAAATTAAAATACGTTTTAATATTATTATCAAGCTTCAAAAGAGAATGCAAGTCGTAAAACTAACCTACGTTATATAGTTATTACTTCGCCATTGAAAAAGACAGTGCCACTCTGGAAATGACATTTGTGACGATGATTTTAACTAAGCATCAGCCTATTTGACTAATTTAATTAGTTAAATAATCTCATGTTGAACAATACATAAAATCGAGGAAAATGAAGTTAACCATCGGTAGTGATGTTCTGTATGTATACAACATTTGAATAAGCCCAATAACAAAAGTAGTAGAAGAAATGAGGTTATTAACAATATAGAAAAATACAAACTGTAATACTTACTCACCTATTTAAACATTGACATTTGGCTACCACAAGTTGTTTCCCTTTGAACTTCAAAAGTAACATTTCTTATATGGCAGGAATATCGACACTTTTATGGGTTAATCGTGCACGAACCAAACGATTGTTTTACTATAACACTTTACAATATACTGTAAATATAAACATTGTAGCACGCTCAAAACATTAACGGTTTTAACATATAAGCCAATTGATGAATTTGAAAAAAAACAAAATATTCAATAGGAAGTTCAATTGGCGAATTCATCAATTTTCAAAGCCTGAAAGCGCTGAATTTAAACTTCACTAAAATATGTACGTTTAAAGATTTAACACATGTATATTATGCAATACCTCAAACGCGATAACAAAATATCATAATTAGAAAGATATTTTATTCACGTAGTTAATAAAGAAAGTCTTGTCATCTGTTTTCTGTGCTCGATATATAATAACAAAGTCACTAAATGCTGGATATGGACAATTTGTCAAGACGATTACTCTTCAACAATGTTGTAACATATTTATCATAGAAGATATTGTCAAGTCGTTTGAGCATTTAACCTTGATATAATTGCAGCAGATGTGTGTGTAGCCTTAACAGTCTTTGGGAGAATGTTTTATTCATCCTTTTTGTGATCAGTAAATGAATGATGAAATGTATGCATGTGACAAACGTTAAACTTTTAAAACAAATTTTTGTGTAATAATGAGTATGCGAAAATGACTATGCATCAAGCCAATTAAACTAAAACACATAATCTCCAAGCTCGCATGCTGAAAACCTCATTTTATATCATTTTAGACAGCCATGATAAATAATAAAATTGTTCATTATTGTAGATTTGTTCCCGTTCCCTATGTATTTTTTTCCCATGATAACTATCGTCATATCTTCTTTTGTACAACTGTATGCAATAAAATGAAAGAAGTTTATAAGTAGTTTTACGTTTAAATTATATAAACAATTCAATCTCCCACCACTATGTACTTGATAAGAGAGATAATTAATATGAAAGTGAAGAGTTTTATCTCAATTTCCTTTTATACAAAATGGCATGTGAATTTGCTTATGTCTGTCAAAGTATTCAGTAACCGAACAAATTGCGAAAAAAACAACCTTTTTTGTTTAAAGTTTTGACGTCCTAACTTCTTGCCTTATTTAAAGACATTTTAATTTAATGGAATATCTCCTACGTTTCTTACAAACAGGAAATCATTTAATAAATGTATCCCACTATTAGTCCTTAATATTGTTTTGATAACTTCACGTTGTAAAATTACCGAGTCAAGCTGATCTCTGATCTTCTGTTCATTACCCACTTAACTTGTACTGACCCTTGACTTTTGAAATCTGATTGTAAAAATATGAGATAAACTACAAGGATATATCTAGTGCAAGGCAATTATTTAAATTAGATTGTCCTTCACGACTGCCCAATTACGAAGGAAATGTAACTTTTGCGTCCCATTAAAAAAATCTCTGCATTGTTTATAAATCAGTTACTTGTAAAATTGATTTTCACCAAGATTCCAGTGTCTACCCTTATCATATACTTTGAACTGTGTCACATGTGATGAAGAAATTGACTACCCTCTTAGAACACGTGACTTTGCCTTCTACTATATAGCTTCATGATAGCTCTTCCTGGTTTATGTGTTTCCTCACTTTCTGAGGTGAACTAAATATCGTCAGAATTACCGTACGATAAAAGACATGGTATTATCTTAGAAGGAGCTACATGATAATATGTAGGGTTGTTACTTTAATATAGGTTACAGAATCACACTGCTACCTAATACAAAGCATAATAATAAAACAATACAAGACACACTGATTGTGTCATGCAATGAATGATGACTAATGTAAACTATTATGGTACGAGGCACTGATAGGAGTAGTTTGTTTAAACGTATGATACGATGCGCAAAAATAGACTGATTCCAGGCCTAATTACAATAATAGAAATTAAATGTCTTATAAGTAAAATATACAAAAATAGTCAAATGACGAGGGCGAAATCGGAAGTTAAAGTCGTAAGTTCAAGACAACTGTTATGGAATGAAAGAATTTTTAATAACATAGATTAAGTAGGAAATTCATAATAGCTACATAAATGGTGTGGCCTGATAACCTTGACATAGTCTTGCCATGAGTCTTGAGTTAAAAGTTAAATTGCCTTATTGTCTGGTTAATGCCCTTGCAAAATCAGTGATTAAATTTAAATTTCCACTGGATGTTTCTATACAAATGTTACTAGAAAAAAATGGGGTTTATAGGCATATGAACTCAATTGGACCGGTGTCATCTTGACGGAACGCTACAGAAATTTAAATTCCGAAGATATTAGTGAATACCCATTGTTAATATTTCTAATTATGAATTTTTAGAAATACAAGTATACGTATTGAAAAGATTCTTTTGAAAATTCATGCCAATTTTGACGCAAATCGGTACAAG